CCTTTAAACACACAAAGATTGGTCTTGCATATAACTTTTCAATCAGTAAAGAAGTTTGCATAACACACCAAAAAATTCCAGTTTATGCAATAAAAGGCACCATCTACCAGAAATCTACCCTGTCAAATTCTTTAGAAAAATCAGTATAAATGGAATCCACCTGAGAACTGTTTTACAATACAGTTATAATGTAATCAGTGTAAAATAGTAGGATGTTAGAAGATAAAACATTAGGCAGGAAACCATGCTGACTGAAAAATATGTTACAAAATGTTGAAATTTTTAGGAACAGCACAAAGAATTGTAGTGGAATGATAATTATAAATCAATAATTTATTTCCAAATTTGTGTATGGGCGTAACAAAGGATCAGTAGGAGATTTATTAAAAATAAGCCACAAAGGTCTATATAAAGAGAATGCACAATTCCTTAAAAACAAATTAGATATTCTACTGGAGCAGGACTTTAATTGGTATTAAGACACTATAAATTCTCCAGATTGTCACAAATTTTAACAGTTAAGGGAGCATATTATATACATGTGACTGATTTCCAGTTTATGATTCCACTCATCTAGATAGGAAAAAGATTTTGAACACTTCTAAAGAAATTGACATACACTTTAACAATTGACTACCACTCATTAACAACAATTATTCAACTTATAAATTGAAATATCAAAATTATTTCTCTTAAATTACTAACCAAATTCCAAAAAGATTTTGTTTATATTGCAATTCAACAATTCCTTAGTATTTCCTATAAACGACATGTAATAGCCTCTACTTTTTGGTTACATCAAAACATACAAAACTCATCATAATCACTAAGGTAGCATGTTCTTTTATACTGCGCATGATAAGCTTTCTTTTAACCTTCCAGCGGTGGCGCGTATGCGGTAAATACACGGGTAATTCTTTTTCTTGATGTGCCTATCCGTTACGAATTTTGGAGATCATCATGGCAATCCTTATCTTAGTGCACAAATAACCTGTCAAGGGATAGTATGTTGCTAAGAATTTTGCATTTATATTTCAGATATATGCTCGACTTTTTAGGTAAGTTTTTATAACATCTGTTTTTTTTTTTTTGTTATAGTTACATTATTCTTATTGTAATATTGATAACATATTACTATTTCATGCATTTTTTGTGTTGAAAACTTTCTACATTGATGTAAGAGGTCTGCAAATGTAGTTCCATTTTGTTTATTTTATTTTATAAATGGCGGATAAGAAGATTTTCAATCTCAATGATCCCACTGATATAGAAGCTGTTACAAATTTGATGTTTGCCGAGTCGGATGACGATATGCGTATGGATGATAGCGATAAAGAGATGACGAACATGTTTTGGAACGTGATGACGATTCTAAGTCGGAATTGGGTGATGGAAGTAATGCAGAAGACGAAGCTGACAGTTCCAACGAGGCTTATAAAGCTCATCTAAAGAAAAATGGAAAAGTTTTCAACTCATGGATTTGGCAAAAAAATCCAAACAAAAAAAGTAAGCGACCACCTCGCAATATATTACTCCGTCTCCCTGGGGTCATTTTACCAGCCAAGAATCTCACAGACATTGTTGATATTTGGAGGTGCCTCATAACTGATCCTATGATTGAGAGCATCGTGAACTTTACAAATAAGTACATAAGTTCTGTAAGATCTAATTATAGTCATTCAAGAGATGCCAGGGATACAGACAAACTAGAAATAACAGCCCTTTTGGGCTTGCTTTATTTGGTGGGCATTTACCATGGTAATTGAGTTAACCTTGAAGAACTATGGAGAATAGATGATTTCAAAACAGTGATGAGTTGGAGAAGATTTCTATTTTTAATGAGAGCATTACGTTTTGATGGCATAGCTACGAGAGTAGAATATAAAAGAATGAATCGCTTGGCCCTAATAAGGAATATTTTAGAGTAGAGTAGAGTAAATTTTTCGAGGAGTATGTGTCTAATTGCCAAAAATTGCTACTTGCTTGGGTAAAATGTTACAATTTTACATGAAGATGCTACTTTATTCAATACTTCCCCAAAAAACCCAATAAATATGGGATCAAAATTTATGCCATGGTTGATGCTCACATCTTTTACACTTATAACATGGAAATTTATGCAGAGACAACCAGATGGCCCAATTCTCCATAAGTAACAAACCACGAGACATGGTAAAAAGGTTGGCAATACCTATATTTAATACGGAGAGAACACTGACAACTGGTTTTCTGATTTTGATTTGATAAAAGATTTTGATGAGAAAAAATTGCCCTTGTAGGAACGATGAAAAAAATATGGCCCGAATTCCCAATGAATTTAAAGTTACAATAAAGTGTGAGCCCAATACCAGTATTTTTGGGTCTTGGAACGACATGACTTTGTTTCCTACATGCCTAAGCGCTATAAAAACGTAATATTAGTTTCAAGCCTACATGATGACGCACCAATCCATGCAGAAACAGGTGACCAAAAGAAACCTGAGATTGTAACATTCTACAACAAGACAAAGGGAGGTGTAGATACAGTGGACAAAATTTGTGCTTCTTACAATGTTGCCAGGAACACCAAAAGATGGCTGATGCCAATATTTTTTTCCCTGTTAAATATAGCCGCGATCAATAGTTATATAATGTATTCCACCAATAATAACGAAAAAATACTTAGAAGAAAATACCTTCAACTACTTTCAAATGCTTTTGTGAAAGGACACATCAAACGAAGAACACAATATACTCCCTTCAAAATGAGCTCCAAGAAAAAATTTCAAAAAGAAAAGCAGAATTAGGTATCGAGACAGTAGAGACCACAGCAAGTAAAAGAAGATGTAAGCCTTGTCAAAATGTTAAACATTCAAGGGTCACATGCTTCAGCTGTGAAATTTGTCAGAAATTCATTTGTATGGAACATTTAAAGCATATTTGTCAAGACTGCAAAACTGCGATACAATAATATGTGTAATGTGCAATATCTAGGACACATCTGGGATTTATGACACTGTTGTTGTTTTTATTAAAATTCAATAAAAAAATTTTAAGAAATACAGTGTACCAATCTTCCACCGAATATATTTTGTATTAATATTACAATGTTTCATTACCTAAATCTTAAAATAACTAATTAGCATTTAGCTTATCTAGGAAATACGTGTGACCATTGTTGTTGGTACAAAGGCCACAACCGCTGGAAGGTTAAGTGATAAGATGCTTCAGTTCTCCATAGAACCATACAGAGCATACCTTATTTTTTAGTGGTGATCAAAGAAATATGATGGTTTATATATTCTTATAAAATATTATAAAAGATTTCAACACATTTCACAACATTCTGCAACTAAAGATAGTATTGATACTCATGACATGAAGTACACCAATTATTCTCCTGGTTGTCCCTAATGATGTCGTCAGTAAAACCCCAATACAACCGGAAGTGGTAACAGCTTATGGTGAACAACTGGAGAGAACTAACAGTATCACTTACCTTGGTTGTAATCTAAATGAGAACTGGGACATGAGCAAAGAAATTAGAATACGGACAGAGAAGGCCAGAGCTGCATTCTTTAAGATGAAGAAACTGTTATGTGGAAACAATATTACTTTAAGTCTGAAAATTAGATTAGTGAGATGTTATGTGTTCTCTACTCTTTTGTATGGTGTTGAAGGTTGAACTTTGACAGATACACTTCTCAAGAAACTGGAAGCCTTTGAAATCTGGGTGTATTGGAGAATCCTACGAATAAGTTGGGTAGATAGAGTTCGTAACGAAGTTGTTTTGCATCAGATGGGAAAAGTTACGGAAGTCATCAAAACAGTTAAAAATTGCAAACTAGAATATTTTGACCATGTTATGTGCCACCCAGAGAGATAAAATATACTCCATTTAATAATACAAGGCAAGGTAGATAAAAGAAAAGGGCCAGGTCGAAGAAGAACGTCATGGCTTAGAAACCTGAGAGATTGGTTTAACAAGTCCTCTGCATCTCTTTTCCGAGCTGTCGTCAACAAAATTACTATAGACAATTTGATAGCCAACACTTGATAATCGAGCACGGCACATGAAGAAGAAAAGTTGTCCCTAAAAATTCAGACATCCATTTATTGAAGAACTGGAAATGCAACTTGTAAAACCTCATTTGGCAAAAAAGATTCAAAATCCAAAATTGAATAAAGAACTTCAAGCTATTATCAAAGTTGCTCTTGGAGTTGACAACATTAGAAACAAATTATCAAAATCAAGAGACAAGTGTCTAGAAGTAAAGAAACATGTTTTCGGTGTCCATACCAGAAGAAAAATATGATTTACAAATGCTACTCCTGTTAGCAACCAATTTGCATACCAGTAAAATGTGTAAGAACTAATCAAGATGTTGTTTTGATTAGAAAAAAAAATTAATAAATCCTTCAAATATTTACACTATGCTTTTAAATTTATATGTGAAAATTCTAAAGTAGTAGGTATAACAGACTGATACTAATAAATAACATAAAATTAATTAATCTCACAGGTCTTAATATTGAAATACTCTCATAATTGAATAAATTATTAACTAACTTACTGATTAAAGTTAAACTAATACTACAAGATTAATAAAAACATGTGATTTCCTAGGCACAATCTACTAATTTTAGATAACTACAATTTTGATAAAAAACTATATGTATATCATATGGATCAATACACTATCCAACCAGAAAGTCAAAATAATTCACTATACATAACAATGAATTCTGTCACATTTTCACTCCTTCAACTGACTTATTAAATATAAAAATAAAAATATGTAATTGTACTAACCTCAATTGAAGTACAAAAATGTGAAATATTGACAAATAGTTAAGCATGTGCTAGACCAACATTTGAAACATGTTTTAACTGAAAATAAAATGTTTACTATTTTTTATTGTTTACTTTTTACAAAGTTTACAAACAAAAAATAATGTGGAAGGTAAACCTTATATTCGATTTAAAAATCTCCATTGTGTACTTACTGCTAAATACTTACCCTGGATGTGGCATGAAATGTGGTCCCATAGGTCCCATTTGCATCATTGGACCCATAGGCATACCTGGTGGCATTCCTGGAGGTGGCATCATTCCTGGCACCATATTAGGCATTCCTTGCATAACTCCTGGAGCAGTGCCTAAGAGACCCTCTGGTTTTGGCCGTTTAACTGCAGGTTCATCATCATCAGAACCAGAATCATTTGCTGGCCTACTTCCTTGTTTTTGTCTCTCATGTTCTCGAACATCTGCTGCTGGTATTCCTGGTAGATAAACAAAATACATTTTATAATACTGAAAGGAGAAGTTAAGAGAACGAGGAGTTCATAACTGGCAGGTATACTTGCCATGCATTATTTTTAGAATTATAAAAATAGATTTTACCTTCCATCCCATATATTTCAATATCAACATTGGAACGATTTGGCAATGAATTAGGAACCTTATCTATCGTTTCCTTATGAACCTGCATGCAATGTATCGAGAGGCCTGGACCAGTATATAATTTTTTATGGCATATGTGACATTTAAAATGTTTAGCTTTTTGGTGTTGAATAAGGATTTTCTCATCTTCAAACTCTCGATTGCAATACCTAAATTTAGTTAAGGAAAATGGCTATAAATATATTGATTGCAAGATATATTTAGCGCTAGGAAATAAGCAAAACAGTTACAGGAATGCTAACAAGAAATCATGTTTTAAAAGGATACCAGCACCATGGTTTTGACAACTTCTTCTTCTTGCGACCCATTATATTGCAATAAACTAATTTATTAACTAAAACACAATCACCGGATTTTTAATAACATTTACTGTAATATAACTTAGTTAAAATTGTTTTTATCACAAATTGCTTTTCACTATTCAAGATGGCCGAAATCAGAACAACGGAAAGGTAGTCTCACACCCACTAAACCAGAAGACAACAAAAGTCACATTCACACAACGTAAAAATGCTATTTTTAAGGTCGGTATCCTCGATCCTCGGTATCCTGAACGAACAGCCAATTCATGACCATGGCCTACATTTGGACCAATCACTAACTAGCACTTGAAAAGCTTTAACATTATTTGGATAAAAAATGGCAAATTATAACCGCCACCTAACGTGTAAATTTAACACTATACTGAAGTTATATGTATTTCCTGCAATATAATATGGCGTAGAAGTATAGATGACAGCACATATTAGTTAAAAATATTTTACCATTGAACCATAATTTAAAATCCCTGGATTTTATAGATAATGTCTTTGTTATAATGTTGCCGGACTTTTGACGGTGAGTTTTCTGTAACTTATAATATACGTAAATAAGATAAATGCGATTTAAAGGAGTTTCTTGTCCAAAACGATAGTTAATAAATTTAGTAAGAGCACATCTAGCTGTTGCTAGCCGTGTCTTCACCTCTTTGTAACCTCCAGAATATTTAAATTTCTAAACTCTGTTTACTAAAAAATCTTTAACTTCGTTTTTGCAATATTAATTTTACGACCGCGCTTCTCTCCTTCTCTATTTATTAAATGTATCTGTCGTAGTCCGTCCGTGAGGTCTTCTATTAAAGGCGTATCGTCAGCTGTAGTGGATTATTTATGGGGATTCTGTTTATTTTGATAACTTTTTTATTCTGCTGTTCAAGTTGAAAAATTTAGTCTCACACTTTTTTTTATTTATAAATATTCCTCACGGGTTTCTTCATTTAATGAGTACGCTTTTGGCTTGACTTTGAGATGCTCCATGTTTCGAATCCGTAGTCAACAATGGTAAAATAAGAATTTTGTGTATTATTTTTTTTGTTTCTGGCTTAAGTTCTCGATTCTTAACTATGTACTCAGACCAAAGTAATACTTGTTTACTAACCTTAGTTTGGTTTCATCTGTGATAAAGTTGTCATTTGTTCATCGAGCAATAAGACAAAAGAGGGAATCTAATCGTTATAAAAAGGAGACCAAAAAAGTGGCCTCTGATGGCGGACACATCCGGAAATGCAAAGGCGCCAAATTTAAATATTTCGACACTTATCAACAGTAGCTATATATTTTTCAAAATGTGTCTTAGACGAGAAAGTTTTAATTAATTATTAATGATAAGAGTCTAAAATGCGACACAATTGTTAAAAAACTTCAATATAAATAAGATTTCATGTGACATTTGGGACAAACAATAACATAACCCAACTAAATTTGATGTCAAACAAGGAGAGAGACTCTCTATCCTTGTCTAAAGTGGCCTCTCAAGATGGCACTTCCTGTCTATCAATATGTTTACCCCTTCTACCTTTACATTCCCTCTTTTGTCTTATTGCTCGATGCATTTGTTACAGAGGATCCTAAACACGTGAATTTGTTGGCATGTTGTTGGATATAACAAATCATCAAAAAATATGTCAGCAATTTTTTTGGAACAGATATTTTGTAAAACAAACTGGTTAGGTTAGTAATATAAATAATATAGATACTTAATATAAAAAATACCAAAGAAAATCTAGTTATTGAAACATAAATAAAGTGCCACAATTAGCAAATCAATTTTTTTAATCGATTATTTATTATATCTGTACGAAGAAGAACAACGAAGCGGAGGCTTTAAATACATTTGAACTTGAAAAATATTTAGAATTTAATAAAAAAGGTTGGGTGCGAAAGAAATAAAAAAAAATAGTCGGTATATTCCGTTTCTAAGCGTGTCTTTAGCGGTAAACGCTCGTCTATATTGTATTACGCTGGGTTATTTCTCAATAGTTAGATACTATTAAAGTAAATAATATTTTTATATAATTCACACTTGTTTACGTCGCGAAATAATTTCGGTAAATACTATATTTACTGAACTCAATCCCTGAATTTCTGGCGTAGGTGGCAGCGCGGGACATGAAGAAATTTGTGTACCCCGACCACCACGACAATTAAATGCCGGCGGGACCCAAGTTTAGTTGGCCTTTTAGCATACGACCTTTAGTTAGCCACTCAATAATTAGCAACCCTTACGAGTCCGACACCGTTTGAGCAGCGGCGGCTTGTGGCCTAAAAAAGTGGTGAAGACGAGGAAACCTTGCTGGAGCCAAAAGGAGTTTTGGTACTTACGTCGCGCCCAAATCTCATTAAAAATTCGTTAAAAAAAATGTAGAGTTTAGGGCTCTAATAACTTGAAAACAGTTTTTTAGGGCACTTATAATAGATACGATTCGTTCTGCTTGCCTGGAGTATTTTAATTCTGAACCTTCGACATTTCATTGAGGGTTTTTTGGTTTTTTTATAAATCAAGTCGATTATTCGGTCAATTAAGGAGGCAAATCTATTAATAATATCCTCGTAGAAAAGATGCTTCTTCATAAGTTAATTCAACAATTCTTTATGAAGTGTAATAACAGTCAAACTGGATAGTCTATCTTGTGAAATGGTGTTTCTTGTAAAAGTTTTTAACCTTTTGAAGCACGAAAAACTTCTTTCTACGGAAACGCTTGTCGATGGAATTGTCAGAATTAAACAAAACAAATTATAGGCTTCTCCAACAATATCTTTAATTGGTTGTAACTTTATAACCAATTCTTGAAAATTCAGATTTTTGTAATTTTCGTCGGCATAAAGAAGGCAGAGCACACTTTTAAGTCTTTGATGTTTAGTAAATTGTGTGCCATAAAACTCAAATAAATTTTGAAAAGCGCCGGAAGAGAAGGTCAAACTGTATGACTCAAATTTTGTTGTATCTGATAAGCTTGCGAATTTTAATTTATCACAATCCTGAAAACGCATTTCAATTAAAATATGATCATATATTTCAAAAAATAATGCTCTGTATTGAGTGGTAATTGCAGTCTTGCTAATACCATCATCACACCTAAAACATTTGGAAGTATTAATGAACGTCATTGTGCTTGCTTTTTCAAAAATAGAATTAAAAAATTCTTCATTTCTTTTATCACTTATTAATTGACGAGTTCTCCTTATCTGGTTTATACAAAAATTAATATCTAGGGACTTTTTTTGAAGAACATCATATAAAATATCTGTTATATGAAAAATGTCACTAAAAACTGTTACTAAAAATGTGAACTCAAAATCATTTAAATCTCTTAAAAACCCTTTAGCCAGCTGAACTGATTTGCGGTCTGACTCTTCAGAATTTATTATATTATCAAAAACCTCTTTTAATTTTTCCGATGATCATCTTGTCTCTGTAATTGTTGGCGTACGTCTAGCCGATGTAGATGCAAGAGCGTACGGTCGTTTTGCTGAACTATGAAAAAACGATGGGATTCCGGTAATAGTTGCAAAAAAAATTCGACATTTTGATATTTTCTTAAAGCTCTGTTGCAAAACAAGATTAAGTCGATAGGCTTATAATAAAGTGCACTAAACAAATAAACTTAATACTGTGACTAAACTAAACTAATAAATACACTACATAAATTATACTATATAAAAAAATATCTATATAATAGCCTAAATTTTAAAATATTGTCGCTGAGAGAAATTTCCAAAAAATAGGAATACTACATACACATTAAACTAGTGGGTGAAGACGGATAGTTTATTTTTCACTTGATCTTCATTTACCAGTTTTCTCAGCTATCACTAACGACAGACTGACGTCACGTTGCCATGGCAATCGTGAACGCTTGTGCAGATGAACTCCGCATTTCAAAAATGATATTCACCTATTCCTGAATTGTACACGGCTATTGACACAGGTGCTTGACTTGACCGCCAAGTACCTAGTTAAGCTAGTTATCTTTTTTAATTTTTAGATTAATTAAAAGAGAATAAATAGTTAATTTCAGAATTTAGATATAATAATGTTGCTTTTATTTTTTATTTATTTGTCTCAATTTAATTATATTTTTTTGGTGAACCTCACCTTCATCTACTTCACCTGGCCGGCCGCCGCTGCATTTGAGGATGGCGCGTTGCAAGGAGCATTGCGGAGCTCCCCTTGGGCTATCCACCCGGGGCGGAAAGGTGAACGAAGGTTGAGGCTCGACCTCACACGTAGAAAGGTAGCCGCCGAGGAGCTCTTCTCTTCCACTCTTAAGTCTTCCAGGGTGAGTACGTGCCGTAACCCCACGCCCTTAATGGGGTAGAAAGGGACGCAGCACGTTCAACCTCACTCTGGTTCTGTGGAATGAGAGTAGAGTGGTCCCACAAGAGGCTCGTCTCGGATACTAGGAGTGTAGACCGCAGACCGTAACGCCGAAGTGCCTTGTGTGTGTTTCTACACACCCGACACCTCGAACGACGGCTCTCCACCTCTTCATTCTATCTGTGTGAGAAACTTCTGTTTGGGGCATGGCATATAAGTATTATGAATCATGATCCAGGACTGGACGAATGACCAGGGCTTGAGTCTTGCAGCAGATAATGCTGAGGAAGTAAAATACAAGTGACCAAAAAAAAGGGTGTTTAATGAAGCGGGTGTGCGGATCACCCCTAAGAAGTACGTAAATTACTTGGAGTAGTCCTACAGACAATTGGGAGTTGGGAGAGGACGTTTGGTGTTCGGGTAACCCGCAAGATGGCAAAAAGAACGGCTGCACTGGGGAGCATAATGCCAATATCGCTGAACCCAAATATGAAAAGACGGTTCTACACGGTGTTGTGCAGCTGTCTATCGTCCTCTACACAGCACCAGTCTGGAGCGCGGCGGTGAAATACCGGCGTACAAGAGACTCTTGGTACAAGCGAACAGAATAAGTCTGCGTACGTAGCAAGCGCGAGTGATAGAGAAAAACGAGGGGCAAGGTAACTAGTTTGAG